TAGCACAAGTTAAAACGTTTTAGCATTTTTCTATTTAAAGGAGAAAGGTGACTATCACCATACAATAAAGAGAGTTTACAATAGATTACTACAGCATTTCAATATATTCTTTATCCTGAAAAATCTTATAAGGTGGTAACTGTTGAAAGCAGAATAGAAAACTGGAGATATCTGGGAGCAGATTGGAGCTATTTGTGAGCATGATGCCCTCTGTCCCTCTGTGCAGCTGGGGAGCTCGGGGAATGGCACAGGCTGATTAATCCATAGCCTGGATCATCCCCTTGCAGATATTCCCCTCTGAATCTACTTGTGCATTACATCAGGCTTTTAAGAATTGTTCAAATACAGGCAAGGTGAGTATTTAAAAAATAAAATTGAATTAAATTAAAATAAGACAAAAGAAAGTTGGTGTTTTGGCTTTTATTTCTAGAATGAACTCTATTCTTGCCTGAAAGTATTTGGTAGGCTAGAAACTTTGATTGTATTACTTGAAGGGCTTCATGGTGAGAGAACTGCTACACTGCTGAATCCAAATGAGGAAAAATACATCCTCCATCACAAACAATACCCTGACCTTATTATTAGGTAGGGCTACTTTTGCTGTTTTGTTTTACCAATGTGCTGTTCATCATAACTCCAGTATTAATATTTGCCCTAATAGGTAACATTACTTTGATTTTTGCTGAGAAAATAATTCTACACAATAAATACCAAGAATTAAAGCAAATATATATATTTTGACAATCCTGAATTTTCCTTTTAGAGTTGTAACTTCTAGCTAGCAATTCACTCTCTGAAAAAAATTAAATAATGTTCTGTATTTGGCTGCAACTTTTGTGTAAGTGCAAGCAACAACTGCAGTATTTTTTAAAATGAGCCACAATGATAGCTTTGCACTTCCTTGAGGCCTCTTCTCTTCTCACTGAATGAACTCCAGGGAATGGCATCACGTCGGGCTTTCCAGATGGATTATGTGAAGCCATAGCTCAATGTCATTTTCAATAGCAAGGCTCATAATTAAAGGTCAAATAGTCACTTCATCTGCAATCAATCAATAGAAGAAGTACTAATACTAAGTACTAATCAATCAATGGCAAATGCACTAATAAAAGCCATGCATCAAATGTCTGCATATGTGTGTGCTCACATGTACCGTGCATATATGTGAGCAGGGAGAAGGAGAGAAAGGGAACAACCCGGGGGTGAGAATGCCAGAGGCCATTGTGGATACTATATTTATCTTGGCTTCCTTGCAAGTTTATATCCTGCTTCAGTCATTAGGTGAAATGCAAATAAACATTGGTTTTTCTGCATGTGAGATGCCCTGTATTCAAAACCCTGCTGAAGCACTCACCTCTTTGCAGAGGTACTGACTGGTGCTCCCAACTAAGGAACACAAAGGCACCTACCCTGTGTAATTTGTCCTTACACAAACACGCCCTGCACTCTGATCTTTGAGACAAAAAAGTGTGTCAACTGTTCTGTCTACAAAATAAAACCCAGCAGATGGGAACAGCACTCATCTCCGTGCAGAGCAAGCACTTATTCATGGATGCAACAGTGGAAGTGGCAGTTGGCCTCATGAGCATGCACTGCATGGGAATTAGTTGGTTTCATAATATGGTGTGGGAGAAAGTGACTTACAAAAGTCTTCTCATGCCTCTCCTATTACCACTTCTAAAGCTTTAAAGCTGTCAGCTCTTCTCCCACTTTAGTTGGTGCCATTCTCAGCTCCCCAGGGAATGGGTCAGACATACCTATTTGGAGTTTCACCTGCCAAGCTGAGAGAAATCAGTTTCAAAGTGAAAGAACAAGTGTTGGGGGGTCATTTATACACTACCACTGAAATCTTGAAGACAAACAAAGCAGAGCTCCACAACAGATGTGAAATGAGAGTATGAGCCATGTTTGGGCTTTCAGGCATTGCAGTGACAGAGGGAAAAGGAAAAGCTCTCTCCACCATAAGCAAGAAGATGATCTCTCGTTGCATGGTTTAAAATAAACACCTATGGACAAGCAGAAATGTGCCAGAACAGCAAAAGAGTAAGGGCCAAAATGTCTGTGTTTGTCTTGCTTCTGCTAAGACCAGGGTGGACAGGGACAGAATTAAGTGTCATTCAGAAACAGCTACTCCTTAAAAATGAATTAGATCTACTCTGCTCCCACCTTCAGTGAAGGAAAAAATGCTGCCTGCTCTGGTTAACCTATCTGTTTACATCATCAGCTCAGGGGCATGCCTCATCACACCCTGGCTTTGTAAAACCCAATACTCCTTATTTTCATACAGATTTGTTTTTATACAGCTCTATGTTATATGGAACTGGTACTAACACCAAAAATAATAAAATATCAGTGGTCTCAAACTTGGCCAGCTGGAATCTGATATGCAGCAGGCACACCTGCACACCCAAGGAGCAGCAGGTACTTCAAGCACACCAAGGACAGGCTCCCAGGGGATTGGCAAAAGGAGCATTTGCCCATCCCTTTCCCAGGATGACTGGAAAGCAGTCTGCCCCAAAGCTGACAGAACAGTGCATAGGTGAGAAACAGCCCCACAGTACCATGTTCCACTATCTACCTGTTTCATTTCAACCTGCACACTTAGACATGGGATATCTGGAGTAGGGAAAAAAGGTATTTATGGCTGAGGGGAAGCTGCAGGAGTTCTTGAAGTCACGGTGGCCAAAGTATTTTTGCTGGTGTACTTGGGCAAAGAAAACTGCAGAATACAAAAGCTGGCTCATGAGGCTATGCTAATACAAGCAGCAGTAACTCGGAATTGGGAAAATGTGAGCCAAAAGGTCAAGGAATCTAGGAATCTCAAACTAAGTTCCTCTAAAGAAGAAAAAAAAATAAAAAAATTGAGAGTGTAGTAGCAGAAGAAGAGTGAACTGACTCAGCTGTGTGCACAGAGACAGGTCAAGACAGGCTGCATAAGGATGCTTGGTAGAGTCAGTAGAAGAAACAGTCCTCATTTTTTGGGGGGTGATGGCAAGCCCCTTTAGCACTTAAATATTTTAAAAGGTTTTGTGCTTATTTTCTTAGGGTCATGGCAAGCCGGCAGAAATATTCAACAGAGCATATATAAAACTATTCTCACTGAGGAGAGAAGGGGAAACTTGCACATTTGTGCTGTTAAACAACATCAGCTTCTCCAGCTTTTCTTCTGTAGTATCACAGTTGTGCCCTAAGTTCATACATATCTCCAAGCAGCAGCACAGCAGTGTTTTATGACTTATGTGTGCAGTTGTATCTACAAATACAAGTGTAACTGTCCAGAATACAAGCTCATTTATTAGCCAAGTTTCATAGAACTTTTGTCTGGAAAAGACCAGTGTAATTTAATCTATGTTCTGCTCCAAGGCAGGATCAACTCCAGCTCTTCAATTCCCATCTGAGGCTTGTCTACCATGATAGGAGATTGAAGACATCAATAGGCAACATATTCCAAAGCTGAACTGTTTTACACTAGACAGCTTCCCCTGATTGTTAGCTTAAATCATCATCACTGTAACAAAGTCCTTCCCTTTACAAAGTCCACTGTGACAGAGTTACTTTCTTCCTTCTTTGCATCAACCTTTTATGCATTTGAAGATCACTGCAGTATTTCAGTTATCTTCTCTCAACAATCCCAACTGCTCCATTCTACCTCTGGGGTCATGTTTTTGAGGTCTATGATCATTCATGGCACTCTCCTCTGATCTCTTTCCAGTTAGTTCACATAATTTTAAAATTGTGGAGCCCAAAACATTGTGCAAATATCAAAAACCATAACACTCTCAAGGCACACAATTTTTGCTACTTCTCTGCAACCCATAGGACTGTGTGTGAAAGGAAGGTAGGTTAGTTTAGTATGCTATGTATTTGACAAAGCTATGGGGCTGTTACTCATTTCCTTGCTCTTCCTACACTGTTAAAATAATTTATTTAATGACTTAGTTCAGTAGTTTTTCTACAAATTAAGTCAAAATTCACTGATCTATAATTTCTCATCCCCATCCCCTTACATTTCCACTGTAAAAAGAGATATTTTGTTTGACTTTTCCTCGTCATCCAGACACTCCTCCACTTCCCACAGACTTCCAAAGGCACTTGCTAACAGCTCAGCACAGGCCTGGCTGAAGCAAAGAGCCCTGAGGTGAGTTTTGCTCTATCAAACCACATGAAAAACATCTAAGTCCCAACTTGCTCTTCCCCTGTTTCAGGCTGAGTTCTTACCTTTGTTATTGACATTAGCTGTGTTCCTGTTCCTCTTTCACAGATACACACTTGTAAAAAGTCAAATATTCAATCATATATGCTTTACCAATATCTGTTTTGATAATCTGAAAACAGTCCAGTTGTGTCCCTGACTGAACACAATGGACAAACCAGTAGCTAGTGTCTGTAAGCATTTCTGATTTAACAATATTTTGTGAATATCCATCAGAATATTCTATTATCACTGTGGGGTCATAAGTAACAAGTACCTCTATGATGTTCTGATAAATTAATTCCAAGAAATAAAGCTATCCAAACTATCTGCAGACTTCAACACATACATTTTGTTCATGCTAAGCAAAAGAGTATTGTCTATTCGTGATTTCTGAATAAACTATATCCTTGGATTTTTCACTTGTACATCCCAGCTTTTAGATGCAAGATTTTACTGTCAAACTGGGCAGATAAACCTTCCAATCTCTTCAGAAACAAATGTGAAATTTTTTCAGCACTAGATAAGGCAACAGAACAGAATAAGAACGGAAAGAAAAATACAGCTTTCCACAAATCAGGTGGTCTTATTCTACAACCACTAAAATCTCAGCTGAGCAGATTGTGTCCTCTGCCCTGTAGGAAGCATTAATTTCATCTGTGCAAGAATATTGTCCTACTATACTTGTCACACTAAACCCAAAACCATTTAAGCAGAAGAAACAGCAACTAAACCAATTTTTTTTTTTCAACACAGCAAGGCATGGTTGTTACTGTTGTTTTGCTCACAAGTTTATCTCCTGACTTACCCAGGGTGAGGGATTTATGTGTGGAACAGAAAACGATAGCCACTGTGTCTGCTGGTGTGAAAGTGGAGCTGTTCCTAAAAAACAAAAGATTTTTTAATAACCTGTGATAGCAAAAACCTTCTTAAAACAGCATCTATCAAAAATTATACTTTGAAGATTCATATACACGTTCACATCACTCGGATCAGTCTAGTGATAGAAATAATTCCACCCATAAATGAACAGTAGTGTTTGATTTTATTTTTCTTTAGCATAATTGTTTCTCTGTTGTGGCAAACTCTCTAATGAATACACTCCCATGTGCAAGACTGGAATTTTGAAAACATGCTGTATAGGACACAACTTTATTCCAGCCAAGTTTATTTTGTCAAACATGCAAAAAGATCACAGCAGGGTCCACTTACCTCCACAAAAGAAGAGAGAATGACCATGATTTCTTTTTCTAGTATGGAACAGTTGCAAAATTTGGACAATATATTGAGTCTACACTAAGGAGTTAGCTTCCATTTCAGAGAAAAACTACATCTAAGGGTTTAAACACTGGGACTAAGGCCAGAAGGGGAGGAAAAATGGCATATATATATATATATATATATAGAGAGAGAGAGAGAGAGAGAGAGAAAGAGATATGACTGGCCAGTGGATCATCCTTTGGTTCAAATTAGGAGTAATTCTATGGGATTCTAAATATTCACCATACTGAGTTGGTTACTGCTTAAGGCATATTAGATTTCACAGTTGGGGAATATCTTCTCCCCAGGTTAGGTCTAGCAGTTCCAAAGTTATTTAAAAATGCCTTTTAAGGCCAGGATATGATCTTGTCACAGAGAAATTTTCTTGTGTCACTAAAAAACGCCTAAGTAGCTCTAAGACACTGTACCCTTCTTTGCCATTCTCCCTTATGGATATTGGATAATTTATACAAAGCATATGCCTGGAGTCTGCTGTATTGTGGCACTCCCCTTTCAGCAGAGTGCTGCTACAACAAATACTCCAGTAAGCCTAAGTGAGAGGACAACTGTGGCTATTCCAGACAGCACCAGTGATGCCCTGAGTCACTGGCTAACACCATTCTCACAGTACTAGTTTTTGAGAAGTGAATGTACAACTGTCCTTCCTCATTGATGTTTTCAAAAAAGAAAAAAAAAATCTCTACCAAACATTAGTTCAGGACAACTGTCTTTAAGAATCACCACAAAAACGTAGCAAATTTGACATATACAGAGAGGAGTGAATTGCCAGCCCAGCAAATGTATCTTGAGATGTAAAAAGTCAAACTGAGTTCTCTCTCTCATATGTCATCAGCATGTCTGCAGGGCAAATTATACCTTCAGTGACATCTGTGCAAATCCATTTTTTTCAGTGGATGAGGTAGAGCAGTGATTGATTGAGATTTAACAACTCTGTAATTAACACACAAGAAAGGACAGAATTCAGGTCCCGCTCTCTTAGCCTATGAAACTCTAACAGAGAAAATGCAGGAAGGACAATATGAAATACCAAAATGAGGTCACCCCTATTCACAAATCTGCCTTTACACATTTGTATCAACTTTGTCACCCAAACCAAAGACACCACACAAAAGAAATATTCAAAGGTTGTGATTCAGCACATTAAATTACCTTGTGGAGAAGAGGAAAGTCAAAAACATGAAGCTCATCTGAACAGAAAATACTGAAAGAGAAACAAGCTAAAATTAAACCACAATTGTAATTACCATGTCCATGCCTTTTATTCCCCTACTACAGGTCAGAAACGAGGCTATCCAGAGAAATCCACTGACAGACAACCTTTAAAGACTGCCTGGAAGAACAATACAGATCATTATATCCAGGGAATCTAGAATTAATGGTAAGGCTGCACAAGTTCTTCCTGGGGTAACACCTCTGAGTCAAATATTTCTTGACACAATGGATGGCAGGAAATAGTGCACATTATGCACATCTCTTTGCACAGGTTTTGTTTTTATTGGGTTAACAACATAAAATCTGTCAGAAATGCTCTGGTTGCTGGGCATTTAGACTTGCCATTTTACAGGATGATCCAAATAAATACTCTCAGCCCTGGGTATATTAATCATGATCATTCATGGGGAGAGGGAAGAGAAGATCATCATAGCTGTTTGAATTCTTTCTGAGACAAAGGCTAATTCCTGGGCTAGGAATTTCAGACATTTCCTTCAAGCTCTGTAAGTGCAGGTAGTTGTGAGCATCCCAAGGGGAGCTCTTCTCTCTGCCAGTTCTGCTGACACCCACAGGGGCTCTGGGGACACAGAGCCCACCCTTGGACTGCAGAGATATGAGGAGAAGCTGGTGGCCTCCATGAGTAGCTGCAGAGACAGAGGATCAGCCCAGAGCATGGAGACTCCCCACAAGGCTGGAGCAGAGACCCCGTGACCTGCAGAGGCCTTTTCTGACTTTATGGGTTTTGGGGAAAGCCTTTTACTTGCAGCAGAATTTGGGGTGGGTCCTCTCCCTATTCCTTGCAAAACTTGTGAATGCAGTAAGGCTGACATGCCCCATAGGGCAGTGCAAGTCAAGACAATGCATTTGATTTTGACCCCAGTTTACAACTGGGAAACATGGCAAGGATATTAGCTTTACCAGTGATATTTTCTGTTCTCCTACATACATTTCTTAGGATGTATAAATGCCACCTCAGCATGCACTTGATTCCTCCTTCATGAACTAAGGGAGCAATCAATTGCCCCTGAATTACAATTCTTCTTCAACTATGTACATTAATTTAATATGCACCAATCCCTTATTACACATAATTCTGTAAAGCAATAAAAATGTGTTGCTACCAATTATTCCTTGTGAATATTTTGCCATGGCTAGAATATTAGCATAAAAATTACATAAAAACATTAATCAACAGAATAACAAACTCTTTTTCACCTCAAACTCCTTGTACTAATTTCACTTCCTGGTGTAACACAATATAAACATCAAGTCAACACATCCAGTGGTGATACAGAAGCTTTTTCTACAATACAATGTGCATACCCATCTCCAAAACTTCCTTGGTTCTTGGTTTTATAAATAGTCCAGAAAATCCTCCCCCCTCAACCAATTGTCTAATATGTTCCAAGCAGTTCCAATACTTATGTTAATATTCTTACTAGGAAATTCCAGTTATGCACACTGGCAATGAACACACAGATATGATTTTCAGTGTATTCCACAGCAAGTGGTGCATTTCATTTCACCTGGCACAAAGACACAGAGTTGTCTTGAAGAGAAATAAAGGCCAAGCAAAGCAACAAAAGCAAACACTGTACATCAACTGTTCTAGGAAGAACATGTCTTTTTTAAACACAAAATAAACATTTTTTTTCAAAGTAGTGATGAGCACAATAATATAAAATTACTTCATCCTGAGTTTCTCTTTCAAACCTGAGTTGAAAATCTCTGTACCATTCTTTTTTTGCTGACAACTCTGCACTGATTTAAGTGCAAGGTCCTTCTTGGATGCCAGTGCAAAGAAGTATTTTTTCCATTTCAAAAAAGCTCCATAGCATTGCTTCCTACTTCTTTGCTTTCAGAATAAAGCATTTATATAGTACCATTTACAATCCCATGTATTACTTTAAACAGGTAAAGTAATTAGTAAAGTAGTGTTTCATAATCTAAAAAATTGCCACAAATAGGAAAGAATTAAGATCTTATGCACAAAGAGGAGGGACAAATTTCCTACTGGCTTTAGTAGAGGTCAGATTTGTAGAAGATACATTACTTTCATTAGACAGAAGCATATGCAGACACACACCTCAAAGTAGGTGATGGACTGATTTCTTGAAATCTAACAGTTTTAGAGCATGAGCTATGATTTATACTGAAGTATACTGTAGTTACCTCTCCTCCATGCAAATTGAAACTCCTGTCTGTGGACAGTCTGAAGCAAGATGGGAATTCCCTGCTGGGAGAGGAGACAGTGCCTGTACAGCTCTGCCTTTCCCTGGGAGGGAGGGATCTGCAAGCATGTTTCCAGCTGATGGCAAGGATACCAGCAGCCTATTCTCACGTGGATGTTATTTAAGGTTGAATGACTTGAGTGCTTCTAAAAGAAACTCTAAGAAATGTGCTCATCCACAGAAACAGATCAACACATTCTAACTCTCAACTAGTTTCTAGGTTTATGATATGCTAAGGAAGAACAGCTTAAAAATTAGAAGAGTGCTTCTGAGTAACAGCTCAATCCCAAATCTTTCCCTGCTGTTTGGAATGTGACATCTGTGTTTTTTATTGCTGTTTAATAACAAAGAAGCCACAACCAGAACGCCAATAAATACTTGTAAAGTACTGCTATGCCTTTTAGAAAAGAATGACCAGAGAACAACCTCAGACACACCTAAATAGCAGGGTTCATTCCTCTCTAAATGCTTACTCGACCTCTAAATGCATCCAGCTCCTAAGAAGTTTGGCAGTCTCGTTTACTAGATGCTTTAGAAACTCTTAACCCCATGCCAGTGCTCCCACAGCTCCCCCTGTACATGTAGCTCATTACAGACCTGAAACACACACACAAAAAAAGAGTCACTTTAGGGCTGAACTTACTTATGAACACGATTATAATCAAGCTAAATTTATCCAGGTCAATATTTGGATTGGCAAAAGTATCGCAGAAGGTTGTGTAGATGATCATGAGGAGCACACAGCTGCTGATAGCACCAAATGGAGGCTTCTTCCTCTCAAGCCAGTCCTTGATGTATCTTCGGACAATCTGAAACACAGAAACCAACAGGTTGCCTCTTTTCAAAGATGCAGGGAGCCAAGTTGGGCATCACAAAGTGAATCTGACAGCGGAAAGACACAAAGAGAAGAGAGTAATTTGGATGACGGCCACAGTGGATTTCAAAGCTTCCCTGCCACACAACTCTTCTTCTGGGGAATTTAACATTTGTAGTGCAACTTCCACTGGGCGTCCATAATGAGAGTATATTTTCAAGTACATTCAAATCCATCCTTAATCATGCCAAATGTTCTTTGCTAGCTGTCACTGAGACATGCCCATTAAGCCTCCCCAAAGTTTATCTCCTCTGCTGATACTAATGGATGTATGTAATTATCACAGTCCCCTTTGCATCAACAGACAATTCCAAGTGCAACTTTGGGAATCTTAAAAATCTGACATCTTCAGGAATTTCATGATGGTAGATAATCGAAAGTGATCCATGGAACATTTTAATATTTAAATAGCTAGCGATGCACCAGAAGTTTTTAATTAAATTATAACTCAAGCTTGAAAAGCAAAAGTGCATGTGTTGTGGGAGTTTAAATAATTCAGACTCTGAATATCTGGAGTTTTTGTAAATCCAAAGACAAATGCCATTTGCACGCTTTTAGAATACCAGAATTAACACATGAAAACAAGGAAACCTACTGTTCTTAGCAGAACTTTTGCACTTTCAGGAAACAGAATATGGAGTAGTTTTTCAAGAATTTTTTAGAAATTACTATAAATTTTAAAGCAACCTCAACTTTTAAATTACAATGAATACCACAGCACTAAGCCTCAGCAGATACAATGCATCTATTTTAGTCCTGCCTGGGGACTCACTTTTAGTTTTTTCTGTTTACTTTATATAGTTCGAAAAAACTTTTTAAAGCTTTTATCGTACAGCTGCAACTTGTGTTAATTTTTCAGCAAACACATTATCTTGCCTAATTTCTCCTGAGGCCTCCTGATGTTCTCTGTTACCACACTCTTTTGGAAATCACAGCCTGGGATCCTGAAGCACTTCTGCCAAAGGGCTCCAGAGGTGTCTCGTGACCTTCCCTTAGTGGTGCCACCAGCAAACATCACCACCATTGGCTGAATAACGCAGAAAATCTTAGAGATATTCAAGATTAATATCAGGGCATCATCACCAATGCTAGCATAGGACCCTTTCACACAACAAATGCCAAAGCCATGGGATCAAGTTGCTCTCAGTTCTCCTCACTGCTTTCCTGGCTTGTTTGCAAACCTCTCAGCAGGGAAGTCCAGGGAGCAGCTATCCCACCCACCACAGCAGTGACACTCCATCAGGGCACACACTAAAACTTTGGCACATGGGCTCCATGCCAAGCTAGCAGGCTGAAGATCAGCACTCACCTCTCAGCACTTGTGGGCTTCCTGCAGTTGAACAATAACAAACTTGCAGGGAAACGTCTAAGGGAATGCTCAACGCCCCGGTGAAAACACTGAACTTTAAAATGTCACACTTGCCAGATGTTAAAGAGAGAAAATAACAAAAAATATAAGGCCAGACTTCTGAAAGAGCTTCTACTGGAGCTTCTTCAGCTACTGGGTAGGAATAAGACACTGCATTGATGAAAGAGACACAAGAAGTGAAGACATGCAGAGAACAGTGTGAAAAACATCTTATAGGAAGTTCAGAGTAGTCTAAGTCTGAGCAAATTTGGGACTCTAATTATCGGAAGCAAAAAGCAAAGTCTTTCACTTCTAAAGTGAGTGGATTTTTTAAAGAAAGTTTAAAAAAATATCCTATTATCCTTTAAATTGTCACGTTGGGGAAGAAGAAAAACTACTTAGGGCCATCTATTAATTTATGGTCCTTCCAGAAGATTTATACTGAAAGTAACGAGATGTTGAAAAAGAAAAGTGATGGTTCATTATGCCCCAGTACAATTTCTAGTAGAAGAACTTAATACAAAAACTACAGTCCTGTGCTTGTTCAGCCTCTAACAGACATGACAATAATAACATTGTACACATATTTATCCTTGACTGATATAGAAGAAAAATTGAAAAGCTTTTAAAAAAATGCAGCTGCAAGTATTTCCTCAGAATCTTCAACTGAGTGATACCTTCTTTAAATATCCACTTCTACTTAGCCTGGAATTTTTGTGAATCAACAACCATAAATACCAGTACAGCTTCTCACTGCACACTGTATTAAAAAAAAACCCAACAAACGCAGTCAGATCCTGAAGAACTAAATTGTGGCTTCAGGAAATCATCTAATCAACCCATTGTC